ATTATGAGATGATAATATTACAACGGTCCTAATTACTACGGACGCTACGAGACTATTGATTGAGCTTTCGAAAATATTCTTGTTATGCTTTCTTCATCCACCATAAGATACGCCCGCTTTGACTGCAAATGTTAGGGGAAACTCGACTGGGCGATCAAACTTAACGAATAAGTACACATCATCGACCGCTGATGTGGAATTACATGCACATAGATGCCATGTTAGATCCGTGTTGGTACGCGCCTTTCTTCAACAACCATCGAGAAAGCCTCAATTGGGAATAGTTCGAGGGTGAAACTTTGTGACCGAAGTGCGAGTCCCATAGAAGGCAATAAATGACCGTATTTCATTGACGGTCAACAAGACGTCCCAACGTGCGGAATAGCCAGTATGAACACAATAAAAATGTTCGTTGTTGCCATTATACGATACACGTCTAGACAGGACGTTGTCCTTCTTCGCAAGTTTGTCCTATCTATACGCATATAATGTAACTGGCACAAGTTACGAAGTTCGGAAGGCATCGACCTTCTTAGCGCTAGCTTCCTGGAGAAGCAAACGTAGCAGCGGAGGACTCGAACGTTTGAAGCTGCGGGAGGAAACGCAGTCACTTGTACTATTCGCTATATTTGTCATTCTCATCATATGGTAAAGTCTAGTCCTTGACTAATAATTAGCTTCTTTAAATGACCAGATATGCTACACATTGACATTATTATTCTTCTTCCTTTAGCCTTAGTTTTTATCAGTTTGTTACCGGATAGTAATGGTAACGAGATATAATTCGTGCAGGGGACGTATACGTTAAGAAAGGGTTAAAATTAGGAATGACCATGCTTATTATTCAAGAGGTTTTTTCTTCATTGATATTATTCTTTTATAGATATTTGTCATCGAGAGTTGGCATTTGTACAACAAAGACCACCAATAGAACTACTTCTAAAAAAGTACACCTTTCATAAGAATTTCTTTTTGTGAATTTGCTAACTACCATTATTATTATCTAGTTTTACAGAAACTTGGTTGCATCAGAGAATTACAAATAGCAATAAGAAGATTGCTTTATCTTACCTAAGATTAACTGTACGTTTAGAGATATATTTCTTTTTTACATTGGCCTGAGTACAGTCGGGCTACGTGTACGTTAAATGGGGCAGTTTTCTTCTTTATTAACGGACAAAATATTTATTTATATTCATAAATAATAAAGAACTGAATCACAAAATCTATGTCATTTCATAATAAAGAAGATACCGTTTCATGCTTTTTATGCTTTAGCATTCTCATTGGGGTGTCTCACGATGGGCAGAGAAATAATAATAATAAATGATCATATTTGTAATTCAACCCGCAATGGAAAGGTCAACAGATTGCCCCCGGATTAAAGCTCTTGCGTCAAAAACGTTTATGCATCAGATCGGCTCATCACTACAGCGGCTATGGGAACATTAACTGTTGTATTGTTTCAACAATTAGATTAAAACACTATCCATGTAAAAAGTTGACATAATTCTACTTGTCGTACGAGACTATGACAACGATTCCCGCAGGTTTTTTTTTATTATTGCTGCGGACAAGCAGTGATTTTGGCAAGGTGTCTTTATCGTGAGTCAATCTTGACAGGATAAGTACTCCGGGCTCTTCTAGTTCTCTCTGCAACGATGATCAGATTTTTGCGTGAATTTTGGACCCTGACTTCGCTTCACTGCCAACCGCGTGTACCTCTAAATTAGGCTTATTAAACGTACTTTGAATACTAAAAAGCACAATTATCATGTTTCCTGTGAATTTTTTCAATCCCACGAGACAAAGGTTGGTCGAGGCATATGCCAGTGAATTTTCTATTCAAGTTACTACAACGCTTTAATAGCCTGCCACATTGTTGTTACTAAGCGCTATTTACGAACACACAGGTTTCAAAAATTTCCCAAATACATGAAGCCCACTGGGTCAGTGCCCATGCTTGTGTTTTGTCTTATTCTTCGTTTTTATTCTAAGAAGAAACCGTGGTTGGAGCAGCAGTCTGTTAAGCAAAACGAATCGAGAGTAACGTGGACACCAGACGAAATCGACCTTCTCAATGAAACACAATGGCTATAATATCTTGTTCGCTGCTTTACTAAATGCTTTTTCCCATGAGAAATTTTAGGATGTCTGGGAACCTCTGTGTTGCGCAGCCTTTTTGCATCTGTCCTGCCTTTTGCTACTGCCGTTGAATTGCTGCTGGCTTAGGTTTTCTGGTAGACATTGCCTACTACAACTATTATTATTACTAAATCAAATCGTTCGTTCATCTTACGTTCACAAACTAGCGGTCTCTCGTAAACGAACCATTTATTCAGGCTTCGATAGGACCATGTTGGGCACTAAGGTAAATAGACATAGGCGTGCCCACTTTGTAGAAAACTGCGAGCTCCGACTCCACAGCACAACATAGATTCTAAACAGTAAGCCTGTCCAGCTTATGCGTACGTGTGGAAATTGCCGTGACGTAACAGGTAGTGGGAGGGAATAGATTTTCCGACTTACTTGGCATAACCCTTCGAGGGTAGGTGAAAGAAAAGGAAATACCCATGTCTATTTATAGATGGAACAATGATATAATTTCAAGATTAAAATATACATAATAATAATAGTTTTCAAATGAATCTTTAAGCTGCATAACAAGCCTCAACACAAAAGCCAAGCAAATTCTTCATCTGAATCTACTGATCTCATTTTTCTCAATTTCTTTGTGTCATTGGGGTTAATTGAAAACGAGCATATACATTGCCAGACTGCAGTCTTTGTGACGGTATTGCGGTGTCGCGACTTCCTATCTATTTGATAGTACAAACAACACAAGGTCAATAACGAAATAATAACGAAAAATAAAACGCTTTCTGTCTTCAATGAGAGAATGAGATGTTTCTATCTCTGCACGTTTCGAACACTATAATCGGCTATTAAATTTAACGCGACAAATGCAGGCAAGAGTTAGCAAGCTACTCTGGAGAAAAAGCTTTTGAAGATATGTATACAGCCTGTACGTTAAGCAGATTTGTTCATCTAGGTAGGAAATAATTACTTGAAGCGTCAATCAAATATACGTTGATGATCTCCGAGAATGTCTTCCATTTAACGCCGTCGTTCCCCTTTGAGCACTTCAGTCGTTTTGAACATATATATGTCGAAGGTAAAGCTCGCGAACGCAACGTAGCCATTCATCATATATGGAACAACAAGTTCGCCTCGATAGTTACGCGCAAGTTGTTTTGCTTTATCGATGATTTTGCGTTGTCCCATAGCAACAGAATGGGGAGTAACATGCAATCGAAGACGAGCCCGGAATATCATCAGGCTGATAGCTAATGGTGTATAAGGAAGATTATCTAAAGTCCAGCAGTAAGATCTGAATCACTGTGGGCCACAAATGTGTCTTTTTGCGTCAGTGACAAATCGATTATTATCTTCAGCTGTACGAGCAAGATTACATAAACGAAATGTTTCGATCGGCCATCACTGATTAAATTGGTACTACTCTGGTGGACTCGAACTGGGCTGGTATCTACCGCGACTGTCACTCCAGATGACAAATAACGGTGGACAGTAATTTACCACTGGTAATCGAGAAAACACTATGTCATAACCATTGAGGGCAAAAAGCGATCGGGCATTGTCGAGAAGAAGAAGGTCAAGAGGAGACGAAATTAGGACAAATAAATCTGCTCTATTATTCTTCCTAAGTCAGCCGCCTTTTGCGATCGCATAGCTGGCCGAGAATTGCACAGAAGCATAATTCATAGCTGCGATGGTCGTCTTCACGACAACGGGTCCTGCCATCATTTGGCTGGTAACTTGCATTGTGAACATTGAGCAGTGGCTTCCTTTTGATACGGAAGACGCAACGTTCTCCCGTGCGCTCGTTGAGAATGTGACATCGATTCCGAAGTTAGGGCTCGTGGATTGTAAGTAGAGCGCCGATGACTGATTGCGGGTGGGCCCAGTGACGACAAAAGCGTCACAAGGGCACTATTGCAGTGGAGCAAGGGTATTGCCTGAAGCTGTTAAGGGACCTGACAAGAAAATCAAGACAGTGGTGACATCTTCATTTTTGTCGCGTGTTTTGATCTCCAACAAAAGCAACAGATGCGGTCTGCTCTGAAGGAGGTTGCGATAAAATTGAGGTTTTCCATGACGCTTACGCTTTTTCGTGCGACAATAAACACAGTAAACGTATACGCAGTAGTGCACGTATGCTGAGAAATTAACGTAACTAAATTTACAAATGGACAAAGGCGGATGGATATATTAGGGGCGGAGACGTCCTTCCGCAAAATAATTAGATTTTAATGAAATGACAGTCAGACTCGTCACTTGTACTTCATGGATATGAAACGCAGAGAAAAGGTGTCAGCATCTTGTAGCGTCTAGACGTTCGTGGAAGTTCCGTTTGTGCTGAAGTAGAACGTTATTCGAGAAAAAAAACTGCATAGTGTAAAGAGGTTACGATGCGTCGTTCATCTGATTAATTTTGTCTGAATATTTTGAAAATGTATGCACTGTACATTGCTAGTATGAGCTCTGATAGTGGGGCACGCGCATTTATTTAAAGCTTCATTGACGATCGGCTACGAATGTCGACTGATGGCTGCGTCCATTATAGTGCTACGAAAAGGCATCGTCACCGAACGTGATTACAGAGTATAATCTGTTAGTCCTCGGATTTCCAGAGAAAAGACGCCGGCACCAGCAGCCTTAACGTCACTTAAGATACGCGTTTCTGGATTACGTTTCGCCGTTCACCTTTCTTAGCGTTACATAATCCAATAAGATTCTAGTCGATTGAATTTGAGTATATGCACGCTATTCGTTATTATCGACGCGTCGTCGTCGAACGGCTCTATAGTTGTTTGACGATATGCGCAATTTCACCTTATCTTCTTGTAAAAATTCAAAACAATCAACAGCGACTGGTTTTAAGAGTTTATTTTATAGAAATGGTGCCGAATATGGTGCAAGTGACCTTGTTCTATGTTGGCGTACATTATATCCCGTGTTTTATCGCCTGCGTTCACTCGGGTGTATGAGTTGTTCTTTTTATCAAAAATGACTCTTCTCAAGGCTAGTTCGGTTCGATGGGCCTAAATTTACCTTAAAAGATGAGATGGCCAGCCTAGTGCATTGTCTGCTGGCACGCATAGTTGAAATCGTAAGAATAATATAGGATAGTTCAAAATGATTTCTCGCGGCCGCACCCTGACTTAAAGATTCATTCGATTACTAGCTTTTTCATCTTTTAAGTTTTCCTTCTTTTCAATAAATTAGGTCTCGCTCTTAGTCGAATGTTCCGCTTTCGTACGTCGCCATTGCACGGATCAATGCCTTTTTGTGGTACCTGCCTCGTAGAAGCATAATTCTGTTAAGTTAAGACCTATTTTTGTTTATAGGCTCGAAAATGCCGTCGGTCTTTCTTCTTTATTAATGAGTATCTTTCTTCATATACACAAGTCGTGTGGAATGTGTCTTAATTGATCTACGTGCACAACGATCTTCTAATCTTCTTCAGATAACGAGCTCGTAGGTTTCGTGATAGGAACAGTGTGGCTGCAATGTCAAGTTGACGCGATCCGATCACGGCCGAGGACTGAATCAATTTGTTACGCCGGCGGCGTATGACATGCATACGACCGCAGATCTAATTGTCTCGTAGCTAACGGTAAACATCCGCCTTGCTTCTGGGCTAAAACTCTATAATAACACAAAAAACAGTGAAGCAAATATTCCGACATTAAGCTCTGTTTTTGTTTGTTTGTTGCTAATCCATTATGATAATAATGATAACAACAGTATATTACGAAGCCAAATAAAACGATCGAGACTTACCTTTCGTAAACAGTACTTATTATATATACAATGTAAAAATACTGCGCCTCACAGCATAGTCGACTGTTGTTTAATTGTCGATGTATATATATATATATATATGCGCAACATACACATGTCCTTATATACATTGTCCAAAATGTCAACAGAATACGTTTACAACAACTAAATACTCACATTGGCCGTTTATCTAAGAACAAATCTGCCTTCTGAAACAAATAGATTGGGATCGCCGCAATGGTTAAGAACTATGAACTCGTGCAAAAAGCATTTTTGACTATACGGAGCGTAACAGTTCCAGTGTTGCTACACCCGTATTTTAGTATGGCTTCGCAGTTTTTACGATGAAACAAAGCAACCACGTCCGATCCGACAGCTGCAGCTGTACTGGACAACTCACTCTATTGTTTTTCCACCTCTATGGCTTGCCATACGTACGTTTCTAGCCACTTACTACCTTAGCGTATTGCTAACGTCCGTTACGTCCGCAGTCGCCGTGCCGTCTACAATAGCTTAGTGTCTTGGATGGCGCTGTTCGCTCGTTTACAGGCATGTATCAATTATTCCTGTCTGAAACTACCTGAAAGGAACACATCTCATGTTTGTCCAGTCGTCCGCATCGGAACAAACGGCAAGAGCTGAACTGTAATTAATAAATAAGTGAGCTGAAAGCCAGCGAAAGGAACTATCGCTGACGTAGCAATGACGGCGGCAACCGCAGCAACGACGCACTGAGAAGTCCTGCTTTTTGTCCACAAACATAATCGTTATTGTATACAGCATCAATTAAAGAATTAACAAATCATTTCTATGGTTGCTTTTTAGTATTTTTGCGATACGTCTACGTAGTGCATAAATGGTGCTTCAGTGACTGAATGGAAATACTGCTCGAACGAATGAATATAACATTGCCTTGGTACTAGCATGATTTCGTTCTTTTCCATTTTAGATAACTGGCCTCTCTTGGAGCTTCTCTCGTTAAGGCCAGTTATCAGGTATGACTTTCCCTGAGGAGCCATACTTTATAACCATTTAGATAAACGTTCGCAATAAAAGGCCGCAAGTGAAAACGGTGCAAAGAAAGAGAAGAAAGGCATCATGTAGTTCTTGAAAGGCGCTTAAAGCTTAGTATCTGTTTAACAAATAAAAAATAAACATATTGCCGGAGTCTGAACATATTTATCAGTAAACTATAATAATAGCTGGAGGGTACAGAAATGATAGTAATGTTTTCCAAACTTCTATACGTTAACCCCATTCGTTTGATACGATCACTGATGCGATACCCACCTCCGTGCTAAAGTTATTATATGATAAAGAAATAAGCTTGAGCGAGCTGTGATTACTAATCGATGCCTCGGCCATGCTAGACACCCAACAATTAAAACTCTGTAAGAAGAATTTTATAAGAATTTATATATATATATACAAATCTCACGAGTGTACTGATAGAAAATTAAGTATGTGTGCCGAGAAGTTAATTTTCGCACGACATGTGTATTATAATATATAATAATATTAAAAGTGAATTGTCTATTAAGACAACAATGTCAATTAAATTCCTCTAAGTAAAACTTATTATGTAGCAACGGGCAGGCCATCAGTTAAATCGTTGGATTTATTTTTCCGCTAAAAGTCTACTTTATTGGGACAGGACTACGTCAGTGCGCACCTCAAAGGGGCCTAAGTATGTAAATAAATGCCGTTGTTTAATCACTGAGGTTTCAGTACGTGAATTGTGATCGTGTCCAAACAACGGAACGCCAAGTGAGTTAGTTGCAACTGATCTACATTTACTATTATAAATACGTGTGTGTATATAAACTGTTTTTTATACAGGAGTTCTTTTTTGCCTTTGTAACAATTAGGGAAACAGAAGTCATTGCGATATAATGTGCTGGCTGTCTTTCCTTCAAATAAGGCGATTGTGCTGGAATTTGATTTTATATATACTTTATTTTATATACACTTAAATATGCAGATAGTTTTTGCGTGTTTGAATCACCGCTTTCAATTCATCCTAAACGCGAATTTCACAGACAACTGAAAAAAACTAAAGCTCTGGCTCAAAAACCTAGATGTCGCTGGTTCGAATCCCACCATGTACCACACAACATGTGCAAGTAAGTTAAAAAAGTTAATTCGGGAATGCCGAAATATTATTGCGTATAATGTATACATCAGCTTAAGACCACTTATATGAGTTGTACCTGCAATTATGGTGCGTGTAGTTGTTGATGATAGAAATGTTGTTTGTTACGTTCAACACGTTCAAAAGACTCGTCGTGCACGGGAGATCTTTGAACTAATCCGACCTGCCTCAATGGGTTTAGCAAGGCCCGTTTTAAGTTCTATATTCGATATATCTGTCTTGAATGTCTGTATTATTAATATCGACAGCTTTCGCTCATTCTGCCTTTTCCCTTTTGTCGCTCTTTAGTTTTTTAATCGAACAAAATTTCTTATGGTCCATTATTGTCGTCGTGGAAAAAAATTCTATTGTCCGGCTAAGAACCCACAACTTATCTCCAGGTCAGATGGCACCGCGAAACTTTGCGTACGCATTTCAAGAAAGAGTAAAAAAAAACGTTTGTCCAGACCCATTCCAGCAGTACTGGATAAATGCGTTCTTTATATGAAAAACAATCTGCCCTGGTTTTTCTTAATTTTAACGCGCCACCCGGTGTATTACCGGTTTATTGTAATTATATGTTTGTTTTTAACGTATTTTTGCTATTTATGATCAAAATATACCGCCATATCATACTATTATACTGCAGTATTTATAGAGTTATTGCCTGACAGAAGCTGGTTCACTGTACTGCAAGGGGCGTCGTCAAAATGTATCATGTAGCTTGATCTCGCGGTCTGCCCGATCTTCGTGCCCTCAATGCCTTTTGACAATTCGATCGAAAATTATCCCAACAGAGTCTCCGTGTTACGAGCTTAGCTGTTTCAAGACCCCCGATAAACATCAGTCTTATAACAGGCTAGTGCGCCTGTATGGTATGGGGGGTCGACGATGACATCGACACCAATCATCAAGTTTTTTTCTGTGTAGTACTTATTTTTATGCTTCTTAATCTTCCCGTTTCCTGTCTCCTCCAAGGTCATTTCTAAAAAAAAAAAACTAGGGTGCAGCTCCTTGACGGCTGTTCACCACAACAAAAATGACAATATTCGATCACCGATGAAGCGGGTTATGCCCTACTCTGAGTCTCTTCAGGCTGATTGGGTACCTCAGACGTTTGTTCTCGCCGATCCCGTCAGAACAGCAGTCTCCTACAGTTCAGTCAGACGCGCCATACCACCTACTGCACTGATGATCCAGCGCGGGCTTACCAAGAATGAGGATGTTTATCATCCAAACAGAAGAAAGCGACCGCTAACTGCTGTTGCCGATAGCATATCTACATCCGGAACGAACAATCGCACATAGATACTGCGGCGATTCATTCACAGATTTACGGATTGGATAATTATAGTAAAAACATACCACCACTTACCATACCGTAACTCAGTAGGACACAGTGCGTATTTCACTATTAAGCGTGCATAACCTGACGCGTGCACCTGTTAGGTCGGGCTTTCATTTTATTTTTTGGTGTTTTCCTCAGTAATGCTCAACAGTCATATTTGTTATGTTTTCGTTTGTATTATGTATTTCGTGCAGCAACAGTGGTCAGCCATTGCCAACGACGGTAGGAAAGACAAGAAATGAAAGTTTAAACCCGTCTGTTCTTCTCCTACATTAACCTTCTGCCACTTTAGCCGCCGTCACAACTTCGTCGTCTTTTACTTCTTGCTTTGCCTTTGTGGATCGCCATTTATGGGCAGTGACAGCAAAGGATGGTGCCAACAATAACGACAGCAGCAAAAGCGGATGGACAATGGAGGTGTGACTGAGAACGAAGTAGCGTTGTTGTTGGCACTTGTCCATCTTCGCAGTCCGCTTGGTTCATCGGCAGGCCACAGCAGCCGCTTACTACCATTCCGTTTACAGGTCGGCATCCGTTAACACAGAGAACTATCACCGCCGCTCAGATGGCCACTCTTACCAATGTCGGTGCTGGTATTAACGGCGTTAATTGGATAGCTAGATTATCTAAATGGAAAAATGAGGTACTTGCTAAACTAACGGCATTATGTCGCGACGCGTCGCCTCGCGTCTGCGGCTATCTCTATGCACTGCTCGTGACTTATTCAAAGGTCGTGGTTGCGTCGGTCGCTGGAGACGAGCTGATGACGTGACAACTATTCCTACTGCATACTGATCAGGGTTCTCCTGATGCTGGCTCCGTTGCTACCATCTAATCAACACACGGCCGGCGTTGCCAAGTGGGAAACTGAAAAGAAAATGGGGTGCTGGTATGCTATCAACTGATAGTCACAGCAATCAGCAACAGCAAATAGTAGGATAATGGAAAAGTCACGCAGGCAACACTCAGCTCCAAATGGACAGACCGATTCATCAGCAGGCCCATTCCGTCCGTAGGATTCCTTCGACTCAGGAACACTCCGAAAATAACAGCAGTAGCAAATAGCCACAGTAACAACAGGAGGAGTGCACCGACACCGAGAAGCTAGACATCTTTGGAAAGTTATTACGCTAGAAATCCTGGAATAGTGGTTATTGTAGTGGAAAATCCGCTAGGGAATATTAGCTTCCTGTAACAGTAGCAGTAGCGACAGTAGAAAGGGGCTTTAGAAGAAGGTGGTCAGCCGGCAACCAACTGAGCAATTCAAAAATTATTCCGAAGAAAGGAAACAAGATGAGGACTCACAACGGGCCGAGCAGTCAAAATACAATATTGGATGGAATAGGGAGCGCATATTATCCAACTCCACGAAGAGCAATAGCGGATAGAAAGATGTCGTTAAAGTAGATCAGTGAGCGTACATGCATTCACATGTACGCAGAGGGGCAAATGTTGTCCACCATGCAAATGTATCACGTTATGCATACTCGACAGATAATTGTGACGAATCAATAACTGTGATGTAATCACATAGTACGTAGTAGATTTATCATCAACCACTCCTTTGCTTGTTTTGCTTGAAGAAAATGTGCTTCGGTACGCAAAAAGAAACAATGTCTATAATAATGTTTGCAAAATGTATTAACCTCGGATTATATTATACCGTTTGGGTATACAAACGATTATTTTATACGATCGGAAAGCTACTGACGATCTCCTTGCTACGGCAGCAGGTCCCATTAATGCCTGCCCATTTTGCTGTCCTTATTTTTAGTGATTATTGTCTTCTCTCTCTCTCTCTCTCTCTCTCTCTCTCTCACCCACACTCTGTTTCTAAAACTCAAAAAGGGATTTTTCCAAGCAGGTGGTTCCCTCGATTCTCTGATTTCGTAGCCGCTATGCATAAGGGTCCATCACCATTTACCAAAGTCTCCCATCTGTCGGTTGATTTGTGTTCGCTTGTCCGGTAAACCATTCGCAAACAAAAACAGAATCTTCCGCATGTTTATTTTTGCCCAAATCGCGTTCTTTCAAAATATTCGTTAGACCAGAGGCGCCAGCAGCAAAAATAGCGTGCTGTATTAACTGCATTGCCGATGAATCGGCCATCCGGGATCGACCGCAAGCCCCGACTGGCCAGTAGCAATTGCGGGTTTAACCGTGGTCCTTGCCGACCGCCAGTTTATCCGGAATCCGGGATTAAGCTTCAACATCTCCCATTGGTTTGAAGTAGCCGCGTTGCATCGCGCGTTCAGCCGTCCGCCGTGAAGACAAGAGAAACAGAACGCCGACGACAAATGGGCGCAAAGTTTCTGTTTGTAGAAAGCGAAGAGTGATGTAGGGGAATTGAAACTTGACTTGTAGCCAGCGCAGTGAGTTGGGAGCATTTGCTGGCCCATCGATGTGCTGTCGGTGCTGGAGGGTTTCATTGCGCCCTGAACGCTATTCGCTTTGGCCAAATACCGGTGAAGAGCGGGACCAATTAGCATGGACTGACTCACTCTAGTCCAACTTCTAGGCCGACGATGAATGCCAGCTTGTGTCACTTACCAAACACTGGTTCGTCTGCTCACTTGTCACCCTCTTCGTTGGTCGGTTTCGATAGTTCGAAAACGGTTTGGCGCGTTCAGCCGCGGGAAACACAAATGCCTAGGTGCTTTCGTGCCCCCTACTAGCACCCATAGCGGCACATATGCAGTATCGTCAACAGCTTTATCGTTAATGCGATGTTATATTTGGCTCATACTTTATATTTTTACATTTATAATGCCTGCTTGGCTATATGCTCATTGCTACGATTGATGATTTCAGCCAGCTCGCGCTAAAGGTTTGAGGTAAAGGTCAGCAATGAATCATACTGGTATTGCTTTACTTAAGCGTTGTACTAGTTGTTAATTGATACTGTTTCTCTCAGATTGTGCTACCTCTTGCGCTATTTAAATGAACTTCAAGTCAATCACCGACAGACATTTGGATACGACCTAAGGTGTCAGTGTGAAGTTACCGCTTGCGAAAGATTCGGGCTCACTAACAGAAATTCATTAATATGTTCTCTTTACGACTAAAATTGTTGCGATATTAACAAGTGATTAATTAGCAATGTTCTCTTGCAAACAAACGGTCCACGATCTTGGACGCCGAACTCTGCCGGAAAAGCGTTCGTAAATGCCACCACCTCTATGGAAGGCTGAACCTAAATACTTGAGTAGAAAGGAAATCACATAACGCCGAACAATTCATGTCGCCAGCACCTCTATCAAAGGAACTACGCTTGAGACATCTATGCATTAGTATGACCTACAAGCAAGCTTGATATGTATTCCCTGAGCATCAAGACGCAGGCCGTCTTTGCCAAAAAACGATTACGTAATACCAAGCCTAACAAAACAATGGTAATGAGCTTATTTATATCTCAAAGCGAACTCTGTGCGTGCGCTAGCGGGGAACGCTGTCTCTGTCGAAAATTCGTACCAACCTCGTTCAGTCGACGACTGGGAACGCGCAAGGCTTCGCCTTGAAGCCCTGCCTACGCATCTTCACTTCATAGCGTATGTACTTCAGCTTCCAAACTCTACGTATTGGACCCCTGGAACGCTCTATGGGTCCGACTTAACTGAATGGCTTATTCAACGCACATTCGCTTTCTGTCAAAGCTGCCGATAGGCAGCTTTATGGAAATAGGCTGAAGTATCAGTTACTATAGCTTTTATCTAGCTGAGCGGATGGGTAACCTGGACATCTAGCTGTTTGTTTTTCACTAACAAAGTTTTTCAGGCAGGCCATCGTCTTCATTTAGCATAAGGCGTACAGCTGTGGGTCTATATAGTTGCTGCTGAGAACGCCGTACCACCCACCCTAGGTCGTGACCTTTCACTGCTTTCGCAACTAAGTATTGACATTGAGTTTTCCGCCGACCGACGGTATACTGGTGAGTACGTTCACGACCCGAAATGCACAGTCAAATGGGTACGAGCTAGATTTCGTTACGCCACGACATATCAAATATTTTCTATGGTGATTATCTGTGTATCATCATGGTATTCACGGGACAGATTACTGTTTTCTTTGCCATATATCATATACGATCAAAAATAGTTCTTTAAAGCCACTAAGTTTCGAAAATGTTAATTAAATAGCATTGCTGTTGATGGTGTTTATAGATTTGACGGTTGCAACGAAGTATTGTGCTACAGGGTAGTATATAATAGAAACATGCGTGTGTTTGGCTTTTCGGCTCAAGAAGCTCCCTTCTCCACAATGTTCCATGTAAGAGTTATTGACCTCCATGGTTTGACACAATACAATCTTGTATTTACATGTTTATCTGATTTCTACAAGTTATCGTCTTCTGATCTGTCGAGTCTTCGCATGACGTTCATCATTACAATCTGGCCTTTAATAAATATCTACTAAAAATAACCTAGCACTGAACTTAAAATTGATATGCTCTTATCCTGAAACCCCTTGGACCATGGCCGGAAAGATGCTACCTGGCGTATAGCTTTATTGTATACTATCGTATAGAAAAAAGTAGCCCGACAGGATGGACGGAAACTTTAAACGCAGTTATACAGTTGCACAGATAGATATACAGAGAAGCGATGTGATTGTCTACGATAAAGTTTTTGAGCTAGTTTTTGAGTTTTGATTTGAAAATTTTCGTTGTTTCGTCTTCGTGCCAAAATCAAGCTGCGTCTTAGATTTCCACTACAATATCATTGTAGTAATGCAAATAATATCTGCCTGCCTATCAGTCAGCTATTCTTCCTTATATTCCTAGCCTACACTTCAGGAGTTCAGACTCGTATCCGTCTATCCGTCCGATTCCTATTAATATTCCTCATCTCTTTATCTTCCACCTACCCATTTCGCAACTATTTACGATATTTTCTTAAATAATAAAGAACTGGATGGAACGTTACAAAAATGCAGGCCTGCTGCACTCCTTAAGTAAAATACTAGACTATATAAATAGATAGATAGGGCCCAAGGCATATAAAGCTGTTGTAGACAACCCAGAACCGTTCTTTCCAGAAATATTCAGCGGTTAGGTGCCGTTTCAGCTATAAATGCGTCTGCTATTGTTTACAACATGATCAGTTGACGAATATACGATAGTGTCGATTGTACACTAAAAAGCATTATAGATCCAGATAGGAAACGTGGTGACAGTTAAAAGTAAATCCAATAATGAATCAGACAGGTGGAGTTGGGTCTATGCCTATCCTCAGCTCCCAATCTGACGACTTGCGGCCTATTTTTGCATGCAGATAATTGGCCCTTGTTTCGACGAACGTTTTAATAGGCTTGAGACCTCAAAGCTCACTGGTCAGGCATTGATAATTATGATCCCACCTGGCTGTCTTCTAATATTTTGCAACATCGAATGCGCCTACGGGCGCGCTATAATCCTCACCCCGCGCTTAGTTGCTGCATTCTCCAATATTGACATAGAGCTTTTCAACGTTTATACACATTGTATGTTTGAAAATATCTTCGACATGCCCCGTTCGTTGAGCATAACTTTTGTGCAGGGTGTGTTGTATGCTATTAATTGAAATATATGTGCTATATTTGATGGCGCATGATCTAAAACTGAAATGTGGGTAGAGCTGTTGGGATTGTTGTTGTGGGATTTGCCAAATTGGCTTGGCCCAACGAAGCTGAGCCCAGTAAGTAATGCGGGGCAGAACACGGCAAGCAGAAACGATTCTCAACGACTGAAAATAAAACATCACGTTTAAAGTTCGTTGACGGCGCAAAAAACCGCCCGATACACACGCGTCTAAGACGCTTATGTCAAGCAAGCAAACATGAACTGTGACTTTTGCCTTTTTTGTACGTATTCCCTGAATAAAACAATGGGATGTTTTATGATTTGGGTCGTTTGCTTTTTCTTGGGCTTGTTATAATTAGTTGTGTTGAAATAATTGTTGATGACATTGTTTGAATCGGCTAAAAACGTTTTCTAAAGCTGTGCGACGGCTGCGGACGCAACGTCGGTCCGATGTTGTTGTGCGTATCTGGCGTTTGTCTAGGGGACGTTTGCCGTAAGCTGATAGGCCACAATCTAACGAGGTTTGCATGTTCCTTAAGTACGCTTTTACCATCTATAAACGGGCCAGTGTCAAGTAAACTATAGTTTGGGTCTGACTGGAGGAAAGGGAGGTTTTTACCAAACCTATTGTGTATGGCAATGGAATACTATTAAGTTTGTGTCGGTTAGAAGCGAAAGTCAATTGACCAGAACAATCATCGCCAAGCTTGATGCTTGCTATCACTAGCTTCTTATGTTAAGTAATGGGTCTAAAAAAGGTCCGGGTTTATATAAACAGTGGCATAATTGTGAGATGAACGCGTCAAGTGTAACAGATTCCAAGAACTGAGAGCGAGCGTCGAAAAAATTAAGACATATTACATTGAGCACTAGACAAAAATATAGCCCCTTTAATAACAACAACAATATCGAAACGCCGAACCGATAGCAATTCATATAACGGAAAACAAATAAACGGTAACTAACTATCTAAGGCGACCATGTCGGTGAACGAAGGAACACCAAAGCACTATACGTATATTTGCAGCGCAGCCAGTAAAGCCGGGCTGCCTATTCAAATAAATGTATTCGCTTAGAATTGATACCATTTTTAGGTAACGAATGTCTTTCGTGTATTATTTGTAATTATTATGTGTGCAGTAGGCACACGTAGTAATTACGAAGGCATAGCGTCGATAAGGATCATAACATCAGTTCAGCTATCGACTGTTTATCCAATTCTAGGGATCGAAACAATTTGTTGAATCAAGGTGACCCTCATATACCTTTTAGGTTAGGAACTACCTTTAGACTGTATATGAAATATTCAGTTTTGTCTTTTAAGCATCGTCGACATAGGGATTAACCATACAATCTATCCGGTCGAAGTGAAACAAAGTTACCCCAAATGGTACGCCATCGGATAAGCCAAAAGAGTCACCGCCGTTGCTGGTAGCACATCCTGTCTGCTATGTACATATCCACTACTCCTCGTATTAAACAAAGGCCAGTTTTTCTTCTACGACAGAATAACAGATTCGTCGCGACGAAAAACAGTGCGTCGTTATCAGCGTCATAATAACAGCGTCATAACCATGATTGAATCCCTATATATATATATATATATATATGAATAAAATAGACCTAAACTAGGATTTTTTTTCTTTTTTATAGAATTGACAATCTATGGTAGTTTTCATGCGGCTCCTAAAAAAGCCGGAAAAGAATTTCCATGACGCAAACCAAAAAATGCTCACTGAAGTTTTAGATTTAGGGCTCATCAAGAAACCCGAACAGACAGGTTTAACGTTAACAGTCATTCTAAAGAGGGGGATACCAATGAGAAATTAGATAAGTTTCAGCATATCATATTTTTAAGGTCGTTTGCATCTTCTTATAACCCTTGCGTGTGTGGACTTTTTGGCCAAAATTTAATTCCATGGGAATTTTCTATACACTTAGACGAGTACATATGTTAGGGAGTAATTCAAGTTTCAAATGAACGCTGTAATTGTATATAGAAAAATTATTACTCACTTAATTAAATTAACTATTTTAATTAACTAAAAAATCATTACATAGAGCAGTCATGATCGTCACTAGTGGCACTTCTCACATATGTAAAGGATTTTGTTGAAAGATCTATTCTTGTTTGAGTACAATATTGGAATTTAACAAATATTCCGGATAATAATATATAGAATTGGGTTTGTGACGCTACATAGGGTCTTAGTGATGTGTCCAAACCCAGGCCTCATGTGTTTCGTGCGTAGAACAGGTTGCAAATAACGCGTAACATAACAGTGTTATACTATACGAGATAAGATAAGCATCTTTTTATAAGCATTCTTCGATAAATAAGGAATGTCAGTAGAAAACACACTGGCTACTACTTTCATCTAAAAAATCCGATAATTAACAATCTTAGTTTATATTATGCCATACGTAGGCTCAGCCTTAACGTGTGAAATTTCTTTTTTACCTTAAGATAAACCAGGCGGATTTACGCGTTTCGCCTCGTGCGGCTGTTGCGTTAATTATTTCAACTACTTTAATTGGCTAATATCACACCCAATCTAACACAAACTACAGTATTTAGAAACATTTGGCCCGTTTCAGTTACCTAACCCATTAATATTTCATCAGTCTATTGTAAATAGATTTTGTTCGCGGTACATCTAACCTAATTTACTGATGATCATCTATTAGAAGTTCGATCAAAAGATTTTTATTTCATTGTTACATAGACGACCAATCAGATATTTGGGCCCCTCTACGCTGAAATAATTTTCCATTTTAATTGTGTCAGTTAACAACAAAAAATGACTCCTTTACATAAAATGCAAGGTTGAGTTTTTACCCTTCAAACGGCATTTTCGACCTTAAAACTGAGGTATACAGCACTCATTAGATGAGCTGAGCTAACTGAGAGCTTTAAGAAATACTCTCTTTCTAGAGCCCCATGTAAATATTTCACTGCTCTGTAGTTAAGAGCTTTTTTTAAAAAACTTTTTTTTTAAAAAAAAAACGGACCAATGGTTAGTGTAGTATAGTAGGTTTGATTCGGTACATCTAGCCAAACTAATAAACTATCGATTGGCTGGAAATTGTCCCAAAAATAGTCAAATTCGACCACTTTACAGGGCCGGTTTGGGACTGATCTATCCTTATCTATCTATATGCATACATATATCGCAAGTGTCTATATATCGCCTAGTAGTATACTTATACCAGATCAATCAACCTAGGTCGATTCTATATCGTACGGTGAGTCGTATTGTCATTAGCGTCATCTGTCGTCATGTGTGATCGGAAAGACGTCCAATCTGATCCATTTGTAAAGATTATATGTTAGTTACAGTATCGACGTGTCTCGGAAATACGTTTGGCTGCCCGTCTGACCTGGTCAAGATTTAAACTGATCTGTGCAATGATTGATGTCTCAACAGCATTCCCAAAAATAGCGCTCTTACTTTGCCTCGTTAGATAATATCAAAGGAAGATAAGATAGATAAATGTGTGTTAAGAAAAATTACTTTGTTCAAAAAACAATACGAACGTTACACGTTCTTCTCGTTCGTTAAAAGCTTCTTTTATGATTAACTTGTTACTTCGTGAGGGATCTCTTGCTCAACTATAATTTTTCTCAAGTTCAAATCGCCGTCGTATACGTTCTAGCTACTACAAATGATATATATATGTTGTGTAAGCCAGTTCATAATCAACAGCCACCTATAATCTATTCGTCCTGTAAGTGGAGTTCATACGGTCTTGATACATCTATATATATATATACGAAACAAGTTAAATATAACGTAACGGATAAATATAACCCCTTCATGATTTCATAGAGCTGCTAATAGGAAGTCAATAGCTGAAGTCAATAACAATGAGAGGTGCCGTGTTTTAAGTACGCGCGATATTTTACCGCTTCGGACCGACAAGCGCCCGAGCACTGCTGACCGCTGGCTGTTGACGCACAGAACTTTTTCGTTCCATTCTATCACTATTCTGTTCAGAGACTTCTTCTTTATTGGATGAAAAACACCTGCTATTGTGAGGAACCGGCTGGGGTCGCGCTATGATGAACCTAGAGTATGATCCTTCCCCGCCCCCCTAAGCACCTCTCCCCATCGTACTCTTTGACGCTGACAGCGCACATGTTAGCTGATAGCATCAACCAGTTAATTAATACCAAAATAAATAGTTGTATTAACGAGCAGTAAAAGACAAAATGCGTTATAATTTTTACTTGTTATTAAGTTATGACGCTTTCAGCTTCGATGCTTATCGTCGTCAAATGGGCAGGGAGCCGACCGCTTGCATACTGTAAGAGTGGGCATAAGCTGTATGTATTTTAGATTAGATAACATAAAGGGCGGAGAACCAAAGGAGCCATGAAAGTTCTGCGTCTTGCACTAAAACTAAATTGGATTTCTATTAAGCAACCAGCAGAACGCCCAGATATCTGTTGACATATAGCTGTCGTTGACATATAGATATAGCTATCTAAGTATTTTACGGTTTGCCAACGGGCATTATTCGCTTTGTTTCACGTAGCTTTGTTTGTGGATGTGTTACTTTTACAATGATTACATATATTATGTCGATCTTGTTGACGATATATAAAAATAGCCCGCGAATTCTTCGAACCGAAGAAATAACAGCTTATTTAGTAGAAACAAAACTTTTTTAATACTTTAGGCGTATCGCTGATATGCTGTTAGATGACGATTTAAATATCTACCGGCTAAAAAAGACCTCCATTACTTTCCTGTCATTAATATAACAAGCCTTTTCAAACGTTTGAGACCCCCCCCCCCCCCTCTAACACCCAGCTCTTATATTAGATCTAGTTGTACATTGAATTATATATTAAATAAAATTGTTAAAAAAAATGTTGAATATTCGTGATATATCATAATACCCAGGCCAGGCAGATTTTGTCTATTTCTTGTTCGTCTGTTCCTAGAAATTTTTCGAGTTCCAGTTGTCCTACCACTTATTAACGTACACACATTGCTCCGCAGACATGTTTATGTGGTTCGCAATATCGCAAAGACAATTCATGACACCGAAAATACCAGGTGTTTTAGAAGGCTACAGCCGAATGGCTCCCGTCTCAAAGGCGTGCGGATCGATCCTGCAAAAGCATATATAGATATTTCTTGTTTGAATTTGAATGCGAACGGCAGTGTTGTGACCCACGTCACGTTGTCCAACCGTCATCTTCCTACAGACATGTACTGCGACCTTTCCCGGTACAGTTTATACAACAGAATGGCGTTAGCCGAACTGCAACATCGATCCAACGAACAAAACACAAGTTAACTAACGCAGATGTTCCACGGACTCAAAAACAACCACAGTAACAAATGGTGTGGAGTATTCATGAGCATTTGAAAATGGCCGTATTTCCAATCACGATCAATGCGATCGAAAGAATCGTGACCTGCTAATATCAATGTTTGAGTGAGCTGCAACAAGTATATGCAAAGCATTGTTTGTGTGTTGCCTGTTCGGAGTTGAAGAGGGTAATATATGTTGCTTGCGAGACCAACGAGGCAGTGCACCCACTGGGCAAATGTTTTCATAGGAAATGCTCAGTATCGATTTTAAACTGGTCAACAGAAGGGCAGTTGTCAAATTGACAAGAGGAATAGAGGCATGTGACATCGGTGACGGTGGCTAACCACAAAATGTGAGACGTCTTCGAGATTCTTAGATGGCTCAATTCTCCTCTCCGCTACGAAGAACAGCGCTAGCGGTAGGCTACAGCATCGGCAGCCGTTCGGCCCTGCGCTTAAAGGAATCCTTCCTTAGCAAACGTCATATGACTATTTTTGCGGCATCGACAATATCGTGTGAGAAGTAGAGAGATTTTTATAGGTTCTTAATCACGAATACATAAATATATCAGCAAGGTGGGACGTTCTTCGAAGACGTTGATTAGCTTACGATCCGGGTTGGTAATGCATATCCTCGTGGTCAAGACTACAATGCAGTAGATAATAATCTTGCCAGAAAAGTGGGTCAAGAAAATGCGAAATCTTCGGTTTCTTCTCTTTCTATATCATAGCGCCAGATCGTCCTGGGGAGGTGACGGCACTGCTATAAGAGTGTGAGGTAACCAGGAAGGTTTCCTACAATCTACCTGAAGGATAAAGCCTCTTTTAGAGGTTAGAATCCCAAGAACTAAGAGGGTCAGGGGCCAGAGGAGAGCAGGGGGGGGGGGGGGAGAGGTCACGTAAGGGCAACACGACAGGGTTCGAACAGCTGAAGTAGACCCCTAAAGTAGAACATTTCACTAGCCTTGCCAGCTTCAAAGAATCACGTACCACAACCAAGTGAAGCGATCGTTGAAAAACCATCAATAGAAAAGGCAGCATTACGCCAACTAGATGTACCACGGCCAGCAAGTTTCGTCGGTTCCAACGGTTGGGTACATTATAAAGCCGGTTCTAGCAACACTGACGACAAGAGCGCTAACCTTAGTATGCGACATCTCGAATCACCGCAACCGCTCGTCGGTCGATTACAGACCTAGCA